GGTGATCGACTTGGTTTTTGCTGTGAGTCACTTCATTACTTAACAGTTCACAGGCTACTGTGGGACATATTAATGCCAAAATAAACTCAGTTAACCCTGTTTAACAGACTTCACAGCATCTAAGCATCTTTGTGGAAACTGCACTTAACACATTTTTATCCTGTGGTTAGCCCTCTGACTGACCTCACATCTTGACACTCATAACAGTAACTGTGAAGATGTGAAGTGAAGATGTCATCCAGCAAATTGCAGTATCTAGTTTCTCGGAGGGAAAAACCTCAAATGAGGAACTGTTTGCAGACAGTTGTTAAAAAAGGAATGTAGTAAAATAGTGAATTTACAAAGTTTAGTCAAAAGATCTGCCACTACACTGGGGGGAACATGTCCTCCAAGCAGCCTCCAGAAAATAGCATGAACAGAACTACTACATGGTCGTGGTGTCTGCAGGTGTCCGTGTACAAAAATGCCAGGGGATACTTTTCACTGGCATTTATGGACTGCTTAGTACACTGGTGGCAGCCCTGGAAGTTTTTCATATGGGTGGCCAGACGGGGAAAGAGAAAAATTGGGGATTGCACTCCGCTTGCACTTTTTAGATTGAATTATGGTAAGTGTAGTATCTAGTGTTTTTGGAGTTTGATACTTAGGAACTAAAGGTCAGGATATATTGCCTCTACTGCATTGATTTTTATCACTCATGTCTCCTATGAGTCCCTCAGTTTAATAGAAGTGCACTGCTATATCACTGCAGTGCCTGTTTAAAAACCGATAGCCACAGTGGACTTCCACTGAAGAAAACCTGTAACTGCGCTGTACGCTATTATCTACTATCCATTGTGAAAATAAATGTGTTTCAATTAAACATGGTAGGATAAATTATTAGTGCAGGCAGGCAGCATGGAGTGCTGAGGATCAACTTCTGAGATAATGATATCTAAGATAACATTCACTCAAATCAAATCGGAGCAGCCAGGGCTCAGCGTTGCATGTCATCAGCCTCTTTCTCTCGCTATGTTTCACAGTCTCCAAGATCACCTTACAAATAAAGGCAAAATGCCAAAAAAGCGAAACAAAATACAGCGTTTTTCCAAACAGCGTGCACACGTTCTGCATGCATGGCTGTACGGAACAGTTACGGTACACACAGCGGGAGAAATCTTCTCCTAAATAGATATCATATTCCTTCTGTTTGTCTCTCCCTTGATCTTATGATCTCAGGACCAAAGCACTTGCACAGATGCTGTGAATGAGCAAGCGTCCCTGTGCTCCTCAGACCGTTCTTACAACCCAACCCACACACTTAGCCTCCTTTCACAGCAACCCACCTCACAACCCACAAAAAAGAAAAGAAATTCAAAACACTGAAGAAAAGCAGATAGTTAATATCTGGCTGCTGATTTGTGAATGTGTATTCTGAAGAGGTGCTTGGGTGTGCTGTGGGAATTTCCTTGTGAATGTATGTAGTGTTTTGCAGAATCACATGTGACGTGCTGTGCATTGAAATTAAACAGTCTCTGTGCAGTTCACTCAATACCTCCCACTCAAGACCTCCTTCTCAAGACCTCCCACTCAGGATCAACTGAAGGAGCTTGCACTGATGTCCATCTCAAATGATCAACCTCTGGCCCCCTTAATATACACACACACACACACTGCTTCTAGCCGTAATGGATACACACAGATGGACAGACATATGCACACACACATGCAAACAGCAACCCTGCCGACCGCACACTACACTCATCAGCCTCCACCCTGGCGCCACAGATAGCAAGAAGGCTGACGGTGCCTAGAGGTGGAGAATAGCAAAAGGCAGGAGCAGTGTGGTGTAGTAATACTACCACTCTGCTCTGCTCCTCATCTGGCTTGCCCATGGACAAAGCCCATCCGTTAGAGTGCAGGTCACGCACACTCAGGAATACAGATGGGCTGGTGAGTCTTTCTGCCCTGCCACTCAATGATTTAAGGGGTGAGATTAAAGAAGAGGAGCTACCTGCACGTGTGTAAGCAAAGAGGGTTGTGTTCTGGCTTTGTTTTGTCAGGATGTGAATGTATTTGAGGGAGTGTGTTTACACATTTGACGAGGTGCACATGTACCTACCTACTGTTGAGCCTTTTTTTCATTGCTTTTACTGCAAGCTGTTTGCAGGCCTGTGTGTGTTTTTTCATATGCCTGGCTGATTGTGCATGTATCTGCAAATGTGTGCATGTGTAAACAAGACACATGTGAAAGCATCCATTTAGGCTCCAGAGCACAGTGTGCTGTGGCAGCAGAATAGGGCATCACTTGGTGGACAAACTGTTTGGATAAATCCTTTGTAATAAAAAGCTAAACAATCCCAGGCTTGTACACTAATCTGTGAGTGCCGGCTCTTTCTCTGCAGTGTGGTCAAGAGCAAAGTTCCTCATTCAGTTGACAGTGTGATGCTCACAGTTGGTACTAGGTTCTCCTGCAGTTTCGAGATAATGTGCTCAGTTCAGCTTCACTGTTTACCCTCTGACTTAATCTGTCTTGACGTCCAAATTGAAGAGCAGGAGTTGGAGGGAAAAGAGTTGATCTTGGCTTTAACAGCAGTGGTGGGAAGTACAATTACTCAACAACTGATGTTAAGTACAGATCAGAGCTACTTGTACTCGAGTACAAGTATATCCTATTCTACTTTATACTTATACTTCACTACATTTCAGAGGCAAATATACTCCTTTGTTATTTGGGAGTATAGTATTCCTTTGACAGCCATTATAAAGAAAATAATGTATAAATAAAAATACATAAATGCTCAAACAGAACAGTTTGCTTAATTAGCTCCATCCTAAACAGCTACGATATTAAAATACTACTTACATGTTAATGCATTATTAATAACAATCCAGAAAGATACAGTGTAAGAAGACAGTGTGCATGAGTATGTTTTATACTTACATTTTTAACCTATAGTCTTTTTTTTTTTTTTGGGATTTGTTCACATTGTGAAATATCTCAACCTTAACATATATTTAAATTTTTCTGACAATACTTCTGTAAACTTTTCTGTAGTAAAATTCTGAAAGTATTTTTACAATATTATTGTATGGTATTTGCTACTTGAGGAACAGAACCAGGACTGCTTTTCTCTACGCCTAAATGCTTCAGTTGATCTTCTATTAAATAGGAAGAGTGGGTGTGTATCCTTGAAGAATTACATCTGTTAAACACATTAGAAATGCTGTGATATGAATAAAACTTCTCTAAAAGCAAAAGGCCAAATTGGAGGGCTTTTTTTTTTTTTTTTTAAATCTTCACCCGCATAACTGTCATCAAAAGCACTCAGAGCTCCGCAGATGTAAGAGATGAATGGTTCTGCATGATCACGTCTGTGTCTCCCATCTTGGTACACAGGCAGTAAAATCCCTGTGTCGTGCAACAGCTTGATTGGAATTTATTGAAAAGGGTGTTGATGGTCAGCAAAGTAACTACTGAGTCTCTTCATAAACGCTCCATGACTCTCTGGGGCGTGCACGAGTGTGCGTGTGACTGCGTCAGCGAGAAGAGGACGTTTATCTCTCCAAAGACAGCAGAGTTCTTACAGCTCGAGGGGAAATCAGTAGGCAACACCACTGATGAGAAGATACTTGTGTATGTGTACATGTTTGTGTGTACTAGCACACAAAACACATGTGTGGGTGTGTGCACTCAACTTTCAGCTGTTCAGGCACTGCGGTCAGAGGCTGAGTACTCACACCACCTAGTGGCATTCAGGCCTTGCATCATTCTGCCTTCAGAGGAAACAGCAGGAAGATGAAAGCCAAGGCAATATTTACACCTGTAGACCTGCCTCTCATTCAGTCATTCCATTCACACCAACTCAAAGCAGGAGATGGAACACCAAATGGAGGCGTATGGAGTTAAACAGAACATTTTTGCTAGAGTAGAACGCATGTAAATAACACCATGGGAAAAAATTTAAAGAAGCACTGCCACAAGGCTGAAATGAGTCGAGCGAAGGAAACGTGGACAGAGACAGAGGGAAATGAAAGGATGAATGCTGGGGAAGCTGAAAAATTCAGTGGCTGTTCTCCCCCCTTAGGCTGCGCAGCTGAGGCTTTTGATTGACGGGTGGGAAACATTAATCCCCTGTGCTCTGCATCCTTTTCTCTCTCTTTCTCCCCCCCCTCCCTCTGCGGAGGACATCCTATCAATCTTGTTAACATATAGGAACCGCTGCGTTTCTCCTCCTCCTGTTTACTCTCAGAGGGAGAACACTCTCTCTGCCTTTGACTTCCTACAACTAAAGAAATGTCATGTATAATGTATAGAGGCAGATGAAACGCAGAGGTGCCCGTCGTCTATATGCAAGATCCCTGCTCTTTGGAATTTAAATCTGCTACTGCCACCGTGTAATCACATATTTGCATGCTGTGCGATGAGACATAAAGACATAATTACATGTTATCTGTGCACTGTTTACTCAACTTGTTACCCCGTCTTTCAGATTTAAAAGCCCACATTTGTCCCCCGCTTGTTGTATCACGGTTGACACAGCTGTTCCCTGCATGGAATACGTGTTGCCAGATAGTATTTCACTACATTCCCCAGGCTCCCCAAGCTATTTGTAAGTTTGACTCCCGGCTAGCAACTGCAACAAGAATCTTTTGTTTCCATTATGCAGCAGTCAGTCAAGCTGAGGGGCCGTGTCCACAAACTGTCACCACTGAGTGCTGTTAAGTATACCGACGACGCTTTGGACTCTCACTCCATCCCAGCCAGTTTGTCAGGGAGAGAGACGTCTCTTACAGGCACAGAGACTAGCTAGAATACAGAGTTAGGCATTCAGGGGCTGCTACACACACACACACACACACAAATAGCAAAAAGAAACTAAACATCACTTGTGTTTGGTAAAGTGTTTACCTCCCGCAGCTCTGAATGCATGAAAAAGTTCAACTTACAAGTCTGGAAATGAAAGAAAGAATTAATGTTGTTCAATCAATTCAAGGAAGAAAACACATAGGGAGTGTACTGAAAGTAGCAACTTTTTTTTCTTTTTGAGATACAACTATTTACATGTAACCAAAGACAATGTCCTTGAAACGGGTACAAACAATTGTTTTCCTCCTCGATTTTTGTTTTCCAAATGACAACTCAGAAATATTGTATAAAATAAAAATATCAGCTTCAGGGAAAAAAGTAGTCTAAGCATTTTAAATGTCCATTAACGGCTATGTACAGGAGTATTTACATTCTAAAATTCCATTCAGACCAGAATTTTGCAAAGTAATTAACAGTAAACACAGTTGCAGTCATGTTCACTGCAGCCCTACAAACCAGATAAAACTAATCTGCTTATACAGTTATGGCTGTCATTCAAATCAGTGATCGTACATGTGAGCAGTACAAGGCGGAGGCGGAGGTTCATGTGCATCATTACAGGTAAAACACCACAAAAGAATAAATAAATGGGAGCTTAATGCATGATGTCCAATGCAATAACATCATGATACAACGGGAGTAAAAAATAAAAAATAAACTACATGTGGCTGGACATACACAGAGACATGACGCCATCAGGACATTACCCACGTTGGTTAACAGGAGCATAAAAATGACTTTTCCTATTTTAACGCAGCGAGTTTTGAGGAAATTTTGCACGAGTTTAAGCCGAGAATCAGAATCTGTCACATACGTACATGTATTATGTCCAGCCACTGAGCTGTATCACATGGAATATAGTGTAATGAGACATGATGTGAAACTTTAGACACAAATGGCATCTTGCTAGGTAAAGACGTTGCAAAGGAGGAGAAAGCATTAAATTAAATACATTTAAAAAAAATTAAACTTCATTACAAATTCAAAAAGGAAGCACAACCATCGATTCTTTTGAGTAATTCATCACACCTGTTATACCTGTTAAATGCATACTGTGATTTCATACTGTTGAATTAATTGGAATTTAAATAACCTAAAACTAAAATATGAACGAATTGATAATGGGTAAGAAGGAAATCCAAAATTCATTATATATAATTTCCAAGTGCCATTATCGGTCAAATAAAGGACATGCTATCAACGTCGGCATGTCACGCAGTCCTGATTTTTTAAAAAGTAATTCATAATATGGGTTTAAAAGGAAAAAAATGCCCTCGAAGGAAAAAAAAGAAAAATCTAAAGACATATGAGAGGAACACCTATGCAACTTGCTAACTCGCAGTTTACCAACTTAACGGGCACAATGAGAACAATAAAATCAAAGCTTAAAAATACTCTTTCCCTTAAACATTCAAGCCAACAGCAAACATGTAAGTAAATGGATGTATGCATTCAATTATCATTCCACACAAGTTTACACATAGACATCATTCTAACATCCATGAAAATGATTGTTTCTTTCATGCTAATCAATGATTTCACCCTTGGCTTTGATGTGGAGAGTGGAGATTAAAATATAATGACCCATAAAATTTGATTCGGTGGTTCACACTCCAGCTAAGCAACCGAGAATCGACAGCAGACAAGGAGACTCCACCTCAGTGGACCGTTACTGTCCAACCTTTGGGGACGTTTCATAAAAAGATCTACTCTGCGTCCATCTTCATGTGACATTCCGCAGAGTTTTTTTAAACTTAGCCTAGCTTCTGCCTGAATCCCAGTTACCTGAGGATGGATCTCGGACTTGGAATTTGCCGTTCAGTGGAACTGAAGGAACTGCGTGTCCGTCAGCTAGCTGGGGCTTTGGTTCATGCTGTGCTCCTGAAAGGGAGTGAAACTTTAATATTTGTGTGTTTACACGCACATCAGCGTACGCCTCTATCGGTGAAAATCCAGACTGGTCACAGCATTGGGTGATCTGGTGAAGTCAAGGGAATGCTGCTGAGTCTCCAATAACCCCTTGTGGCTCCTGTCGGCTAGGGGGCACCCGAACAGCCTGGGTTCCCTTTAATGTGCAGAGTGTGAGTTCGCTGCCTAGCTGTCTGCTAAAGGTTCTCCAGGTAGTCGATGACCCGCGAGATGGACTTTTGTCCTGTGGTGCCCATTGCACACTGTGAGTGGAGATAGAATAAGACAAAAAAAAGAGAGTGTGAGGGCAGTAACATGTACAGCTGTACTTGGGAGGTCTTGTTAGGCAAAGACAGTGATGATTCTCGAGGATGTTTGAGCTTCTGTTCACTTGAAAAGGATATTTATGAAACAGATGGTTCCAGTCTTCAGTTCTGACAGGATGAGTCACATTCAAAGCTGCTGCAAAATGCACATCTGCGACTAACTGTTCAGTTTAATATTAATGCTTGAATTATTTTTAAATTACCATGCATATCACTACGCGAATTATGCTGCTTGGATACACAAGAATCATATTTAATTGATAACAATTTATTGATCGCAAGTGACACTACAGGCTGTGCAAGCGATATTAGACTGGCTTATTGAGAGATGTTTTCAATGAGTGACAATGAGAGAGTCTTCGCATATAATGACGTTTAGAGCCCTTTCAGACATTATGCATTCCTCAATCTCTGCATTAATGAAGGGAGCAATAATAAAAGCTTCCATTATCATCCAAATTCTAGTATTTTCTCAGAAAGGAGCAGGATGAAGGTGCAGAAAGAGTGCAAAAACAGAAACTATATTTCAAACTAAGGGCAAATCTGCTGTTATACAAAATCACTGAACTGCAAAAAGGTTTATTTGATCCAGGCCAACACTGCACAAAAGTGGGCTTTTGCTCAATGGGTCCAATTAAAAGTCTTTTTGTAACTTCAATACAATTTGCCTGGAGCAAATAAACATGTTTAGGTGCTAACAAGAAATTTTCAGTATTCGGTCACATGGAAAATTATGACTTATATTTTAGGACCAAAACCAATCTGTCACTTCAGTATCAGTTTATTTGTAATGCGTGTCTCATTTCTTTTATCATAATGGTTACAGCATCATGCAACAACAGAAGGCCAGCCTGGGAAATCATACTCACCGTGAGGTTCATGAAACTCAAGAACTTCTTCAGCATTTCTGTCATAATGGAGAAATCCCCTTTAGGCAGATTTTCTCTCACAGTAGTCACATTTACCTGAGAGAGGACAGAAATGTGGGTGAGCAACAACATGAATATCTGTGAGTGGAAAAAAGGATCTCCAATCATACTGTGTATGTGTGGGTCTGATATTCTCACCTGGCTGCCCTGGCAGAGGCAACCCAGCAGCAGAGCGGTGTAGGAGGCAACAATGCTGTCTTCCATATGCTTGCCTGCATGCTGCAGAGCTACAGCAAACACGAGGGAGAAAGAATAAAAATTCACAATTACAGATACACACACCACCTCTTTTGGGGGAGAGGGGTTTAAACTCTTATGCTAGAAACTGCTGAATAAATAAAAATTTAGGCTGGAAACATCCCCGTGAGAAGGACTCTGTAACTGTAATTCACTGACAAGTTACCCTACAAGGCTGCAACATGGCTAAAACATTCACTGAAAGTTGCCAATAGTGTCAATAAGTCCTAATTGTTAGTGTGCTTATTGGAGGCAAAATTTAAAAAGGAACATAAAAGAAACAGAGGTTTGCAATTCAACCATCTGAATAAGATAGCTATACAGTGCATGAGCCACTTTACTGTGAATTCATCATTTTATCACTGAAACAAAAAAATAACTTACTGAATCTGTTTACGTTTACAGCTGATTTAAATCACCAAAAATAGCTGTTTTTAGAAATTTGGTGCACAATCAGTGGTTGTAAGGGAGTGGTACACAATTGCCTGCAAAATACTAAACAGCTGCAGTATTCTGTCAAACACTAGAGGAATCATGGGTATATTAGGGCTGCAACTACCACAAATTTTCAATATAGAATAATCTGCCGATTACTTTCTCGATTCATTGTTTGGTCTATAAAATAATCAGAAAATGGTGAAAATGTCAGCTGAGTAACTGGAACTAGGTAATTTGGCCTGAGAAATCGATTATCAAAAAAGTTGCTGCTAGTCGATGAATTGCTTCAACTCTACTGGTTATATACTGTGTTTAAAGGATCCGGAGGCATACTGCACTTTTAGCCTGACCCTGTTGCATACAACTTTTTCTTCCTCCAACTTTGATTAGTTGAGAAGCAAAAAAAGGCACAAAAAAAAAGTTGTTGCCAAGCAGTAATCACCACTTCACTATACATTAACCACATTTATATTGATTATGATTTTATTCAAACACACACAAACATCTACCTTTATTTAGGTCCAACTCCTCATCCTCCTCCTCTTTCTTCTCACTCTCTTTCGTCTCTGTTTGGCTGTCGTTGGTTTCGGCTGCCACCCACTGGATCTCTCCCGATGTCTCCTGCCACTCTCCGCTTTGGTCTAGGGCTGGCTTGGGCGCCTCGCTGATGAGGTCGTCAGTCTTGGCCTCAGCCAGGATGGCAGCGCGCTCCCTCTCCAGGAAGAACTAGGATTAAATTAACAGTTGTGAACAACCAACACAAACAGCAGATTCTTAATAATTCAAAGGGAATTAAGGAATGTTAAGCATGATAACCAAGGTAATTCTTCAAGGCAAGGTCAGAAAGCAACCCTTTAAGCCATAAAACTCTTTAAGTCTTAAAAGGTAAAATGTAATTTAAAAAGAATCACAAATGTATTATCAAAGATTCCTTTCAGGCTTTCAGAAAACTTATGTGCTAATGAGTCTGTTGGGAAAGGAGTTTGGTTAAAAGTAATATCATTAAAAAAAAACATTGCAACATTAATACATTGATATTTCTATCTCATAATTCAACTCCACAGATGAGTGTGCATCGATTTACACCTGCTTATTACTCAGTGTTCAAGCTGTCAAATGTATGCAATTTTACACCTGCACATCATTTACTTAAAATGCACTGAAGGGTACAGCTTATAGTTGTGTGGCAGGATATGTAGCACAAAGCAAGAATTTGAAATGATGATACAGCAATATAGCATCATCCATATTCATTAATGTACCAGATGAAGCTTCAACAATCTCCCTGAGAAAACAGGTGAAACACTGATTCACCTGTTCATAGAACACAAAGTGTTCCTTAAAGAGCAATAACACTGATTTTTTTTCCTCATGACGGCTCATCATTAACAGTTTCTGCTCACATCCTTACTTCAAAAGAAATCATGTAAAACTTCCCTGTAGCCAGGACAAAAAAACCACAATGACAGCTGAAATATTTATTAATGAGTTCTGGCATAATTCCTACCTTCACCAGGGCAGCCAAAGCACCAGAGGACTTGGGCTTGTCAGCCCCGTCTCCCAGAGTCTCAGTTGTGCTTGGTGGTGCCGACGCTGACGTTGCAGCTGTGTCAGATTGTGTTGGGTCAGCAGGCTGCATCAGGCTGTCTTCCAGACAGGTGTTGTCAAGAAAGTACTCCATGTCCACCAGACAGTGGCGGTTTCTAGAGCTGTACTCCACAAGGTTAATTAGCAGACCCAGACCCTGGTATATACATACACAAACACAAACACACACACACACACACACACACAACAGAATACACAAATGAGATACACATGTACATATGCGCACAGGCGACAAAGCAAACACAGCTTGGTAGAATATGCTTTTAACAACTATCTGGTGTTGTTTTGTTTTGTTCAGGAGCACCTTACCAGTACTCGCACGTCAAAGCGCTGCTCCTGGGGGATGTAGTGTGGAACTCGAAGGATGCAATTCAGAGCAGTTACTATTAGCTGCTCCTGCTCACCTGTCTTAGTGCTTCCCCACTCTGCAGACAAAAATAACATCATTATTTTCCTATGTGCATACTAGTCAACGCAAGTCCCTGCTGAGCACCTTAATATTACATTTCATGGAGACATTTATAGATACACACCAACTAATCTTAATATAAATGACCACATTAATGCGAATATGTTCCAATACTGATACTCTACATCGCAATTAGGGTTGGGGGTCGAGACCCGGTTCTATAAAACGGCCCAGCTCCAAATTCCTCAAAATCCTAAATTAATAAGGTCTAACTTATCGATACTGCCATCAAGACTAGTGGGTCCTATAAACATCTTGAGTAGGGCAGAAACTATTCCTATGCAAATTTAAGACTTTGTTTAATCCATATAACTATATATAGCACATTGTGTTTGGCACGGATGATTAGCACTGTTGCACAACGCACTTTGGAAAGAAGTGAGTGGCAAAGAGGAGAGATGACAGAAAGTTTGGGATAATTTTAAGCAGAAACAAAATGAAAACTCCGTTCAGTGTCTGTTGAAAAAACGAACTATCCTACCACAATAACACAATGTTAGCACTTCACTTTGAAAAGCTAGTTCGCTAGCAGCTACAAGTCATTATTCTTATATTACCACCAAATGAATAGAGAAGTATTGATAATGGTATTGAAAGCGTGATCGTTAAGTAGTCTCAAATATCAGTCAGTATCAATATCAGTAAAAACATTTACAGTCCCCATCCCTGATCACAATATTGCAAATGTATGCAATATCACATATAAAATACTCTAAACTAATGCACAGCAGTGAGCACAGTTCATTGCTTTAAAATATTACATTAGACAACAATAAGCCATATTAATTCTCAATGCAATACACAACATCCAGAAAGGCCACATGAAAACAACACACACAAAACAAAAACAAGTGCAAAAAATATGAGTTGTAAATGAGAATACCATTGTCATGGGTAAGGTTGAGCAGCACCCCTATGACAGCCCTCATGCAGTCCTCCACCGCCTTGCCCACGTTACTGAAGCTGCAGTGGGGCAGCGCTGCACCCGACAAGGACACAGAGCTGTTGTTTAACGCCCTGCTGTACCGCTGGATCATATCCTCACAGTACCGCAAAGCCCTGATGGAAGTAAAGTAAAACATACTGATGAGAGAAAGTTTAGAGAAAAGTCAAGAGGCAGAAATGAGGGACATTTGTAGGAAAACGAACACAACGGTGAAGGAGGAAGAGATTAACATAAACAGAGAGTAGGAGCAGGAGATTTAAACACACAGATACGCTGTGCCCACCAATACAGAAGTATAAATCCAAGCTTAACCAGATCAACATTGTCTGACAACAGCAGAGCATCCGAATCTTTACTGGCTACGATGCTGATAATTATGGTAATCCAGGAGCTACTTCTGTTATAGTCTATTACATTAAGGTCTATGCCTTTCTAATTATTATTTTGCTAGCTTAAGTAAGGTGAAGATTAATAAACAGACATGTAAGTAAAATACCCATAATAACCCTGAGGACACTCGTCCTAGTTTTGTAACACTACTGGGTACAATAGTGTTACAAAAAAGTATAACGGTAAACTGAATGAACTGTTGTTAAAACTGTTGTGTCCAGTCAATAATAGCTCCAAGCTGTATCTGGTGCTCACCTGGCAGAAGAGACAATGAGTTGTGAGTCTTTGTAGGCAATCAAGTAACCCTGGTTTTCTGGGTTCTGCACTGTCACCTGTTGGCAGAAGATGAAAGAGATATACAATCAATACAGGGGAAAGTACATTGAAAGGCTCAAAAGTCACCAAGAAAAAGAAAATGAGGGGAGAGACTTCAGACTTTTGATCAAATGCATTTTAGGGGACATAGTTAATAACAGACATTTAGTGTTTTAAACAAAGCCTTTCATCAGGTAACAATAAAAGTTAACACCCAATTCACAGTTCTCATTACCAAACCACTCGTCTTTGAGTGTCACTCTTGTATAACTGGAACCCAACCTGACAGAGCTATACTTACGCTTTCAAGCACTCTCAGACACCTCTCAGCCCCCCATAAAGATGCTACGAGGTTTTCCTTGTCGTCCTCTTGGCTCAGGTTGTGCACACACTCTTTAACTGTGGAAACACAACACACAAGGAACATGACTATTACACATCCTGAAAGCTGCATGGAAGTCAGTAGCTGCAACAACTGACCGTTGAAAGCAGATCTTTGCACATATACACAAATATAGACTTGCAAACCACCCACCTAGTACCATATGTACTATGCTTCTCACACACACCTACCTTTGTCAACAATATGGTCCAAACCTCCCAGTAACCGCAGTTCTTCTTTAAACCAATCCCCAGCTCTCTTGGAGGTTAGAGAGAGCAGTGTCTCCATGGCGAGGTGGCCAGTCTACAACAGAAAAAATAATATGTAAAATCTGCAATATTCTTACAGGATCTTTCCAAATGAAGTAACACTTCTTTATTTGGCATGATACCCTTTGTACCCACAGTGCAATGAGGACAAAATTATTTGATATTATTGTGCTTGTTGTCTAAATGAAAAGTTCACCATTTCATAATTACTGTCTAATATAGTATTAGTCTAAAATAGGCTAATAATCTACTATCGCATGAGGAAGATGACACCAAATGTGAATACTGCCATCACTTCTACAACATAAAAAAACAAAAAAACACAAAAGGTTTCATCATAAAATCAATGTTAAAAATACAATTGTTGCTGCTAAGGACTCTGTAAAACAAACCACAATCTACCCAAGTAGCTCATCTATACAAAATGACTAGAATCATTTTCCCCACAGTATCCCATATGAGAGGATGGGACCCAAGTGATCAGACATTACACAGTGGTGTTTTATATTACTAAAGATACAGTGTTTCTGTAAAACATGAACTTTGTTTTAATAAAATCGTAAAATGGATGTGGTGTAAAAAAAAAAAATATAAGATTTTACTTTCAGGCCATTTCGCCCAGCCCAATCTACATGCATCCATTCTTTAAAGATAGCACATATCTTCCACAAGCAGGTACTTAATAAATTCTTTAACACAACTTAGGAACACAGGAAGAGCAAAAGAGAGCATGGACCAATGAAACCAGATTAGACTGACATTTTATGCTCAATTTGACAAATTAGGCTTTTACGAAAAGCATTTCCAATGAAGCTACCAAAGTATTTATGATGTTTAGCTTAAGTACAACCCACCGTGATGTTCTCCAAGTCAAGGTGCTTGTTGTGCACAGTCTCACACAGCTTCCTGATTTTCTCCTTGACCTTTTCCACCTCCTTTGCGGTGAGCTGATCCTGGTGGGCGGAGTAGTCCTGGTCCAGCTCCAGCAACTTGATCATAAGCTCCAGGCACGCCCTGTCCAAATCCATGTTAAGACGATCCCGACTCAGAATGTACATCAGGGCGGCCGTGCACAGAGCAAGGTTCTGATAGAATGATAGAGAGAAGCTTTTATAAAGAGGTATAGTTGACGTTGAGCATACAGAAGTGTGACCAGGTGAACTACAGTTTGAACACACTGGATCAGTGTGAAAAATGTGAATACCTGTCCACTATGACTGCAGCATTTTCTAAGTTAGGAGACTTGGACTGGAGAGTAGCTAACAGAAGACTCACTAGAAATATTGCACACTAAGAAAAGGTTCCTCTTCAAGGATGAATGAAAATGTACTTAAAACATCAAGGCATTGACTTAAATGCAATAATTAAAAGAAATGATGACTTAAATAACTGCAGGCATGTGGAACTAAACATCCTCTACATTAGCTAATATTGGAGGTGTTGATCAAGATAAAACATTACCCTCTTCAGATTAAATGTAGTATTCCATTTTCTATAATGCTGCTCTGTAGCATACATGTCACCCTGCCATTGCTAGCTACTTAAGGTTAGTAACAAAATACAGCCAATTAAGTAACAAGTGCAGTCTAAAATGCAGGTATTCAAACAACATCAGGCCATGGCATATAATGTCAACAATAACTTTAAAGTGTATAACATATTTGAAACAATGACTTACATTTTTTGTAAAAATATTTGACAACACCACATTAAAAAAAGCAAGATAGATTCAGAAGATAAACACGCTCCCATAGCACATATTACCAGTTGTCCCTAGGTTTTTCAGGGAAAAAGTTTTACTGACCGGGTGTTGTGGAGCATCACTGAGCATTTTGAAGACCTGCGCCACTTTCCCTCTGGCCCGCAGGTGCATCCTGAAACTGGGCATGGCACACCGTGTGGCCAGGCTAATTATACTGGAGCAGTTAAAAAGGGAAGAGAAAGGAACGATTACAGAAATTTTGGGTCAAATTTTCATCATTCTTGTGCTAAAAACTAAGATGAATGAGACAGAAATCAGTATCACCATTTGTGATTTTCATCTTCAACATGTTCTGAGGTGTATTTCTACTCTGTCTTCTCACCCTCTTGTGCATGTGTGAAGACTGAAAAACATCCTAAAAAAAGGAGGCCAGATTCCCTGCAGCTTTTTTCTTAAGTTAAGGTTGCCTCTCTTTAGTGGGTCCCATTTTCACAACAGAATGGCTGTATGCTTTATCAGACTACAGAAAAACAAGCTTTATCTCGGCATATTACCTCAACCGACGGTGGAAATGGAAGTGAGACGCATAAACAGAAAAGGACAGAGAGCAGAGGGGGACAATATGGGTATACATGCAGTCTCTATACGGCTAGTTATTTTTGTCTTAATTTAAATTTTTTAAAAACAATTATTTCAAATCAAATGAAAACCACAAGAATGCCAGAAGCTGGTGGACTCTATATGTCTCTCTATATATATGAAAACTGTCAGTGTTAGTATACTACGTGTTAAAAAATACAAAACCCTGATGTGTTCTCAGGGGTCTCTTTAAATATATTCACTTTGTATCATTACCTCCTGCTGCTCTCTGTAAGAATAATAATTATTGTTGTGTTTTATTAAATTAGGGATTGTTGCATAACTTTGTTCAACTAATGCAGCTGCTCGTCTAATTGCTTGATAAATAGGCTAATACTAGATTACACAAACAAATGTTGGGTGACAAGTGCTTTCATTCATTTAATATAATGAGGCAATCATACAAAACAGTACCAACAACATGCAACTAGAAAACAAAAAAATGGTGTATATATTGCTGTCAGAGCAGACTTGGAGCCTCTAAGTGCTCCGCTGTAGAACGTCACAAAAAAGGCCGCACTAAGTATTTTATTCCACTTACCTAAGGCATCTTGTGTTGAGTGGCTGACTGCTCTTCAGGCCTGTCTCCAGGTACTCAAAATCATCTGTGAACTCTTGATTCTCTCCGAACTCCACCACGTCATTGAAGTGCTTCACATGCTGCACCACCGTGTACAGCTGGTGAAGGGGAATGGGGTTAATTACAGCTAATTGGGAAGCAGTGCGTCTGTCCAGAGAAACAATCAGCTCACACAAACACATTGAGAGAATTGCTCTCATTGTTAAATTCCTCTATATTGGTTTCATTAGCAGCAATAGCTGACTGCGATAATACCCCTCATCAATAAAAGCCCAGCATGTGGAGTTAGGACCTGATCAGCAGTTGATGCTGTATGTTTACCAGCATCAACAGTCATGCTGTGTGTGCACTCAGCATGACACAGGAGGAAGGACCTGGGTTTAAGATAACACCAGAGTGTAGTGACAGCTTAGCCAAAGCAATTTTATCTCAGGGGATATGTGGCCAAAAGGCCCATCTGTAAATGACACAAGCTGTAGGGAGTTTAAATTAACAGCAACTGTTCTCATTCAACCCACGCTGGGGTTCAAATAAACAATAGTGAGCTTGACATGCAGCAAAATACTGCCTTTACTGCATAGCCTCCATCAAATGGGAAAAAGTGGCTTGGTTGGTTAACAATAAAAAAGCTTATTTCATATCAGCATGCAAACAAATATAGTAAAAACAAAATAAATGATAAATAAACATTTAGTTGAAAAAGACAGTGCCTCCTCCCTCGCCTGTTCCCCAGCAGCCTAAAAGCATCTCAGTATGCTCCGGACTCACCTCCTTGTGCTCCTTCCTGCATTTGAGCGCTGTGACAATATCCTGGTTGAGTCGTGTGGGGATGGTCTCAGACTTAATGACCTTGGGCGGTGGTGGAGGGGCTTTGAACAAGCCATCATCTTTATGGGAGTTGCTGTCCTTGCTGCTCGATAAAATTGCCTGAGGAAGAAAAGAGGCGAAGAAATGGGGCTCATACCAAAGTAGCAAAATCTGTTTAATGACATGTCCACAAGATTTACCACAGCTGAATAGTCTGTTAAGCATACAAGTATTTAATAAGCGTTGTTAACAGATGTCAGATGAGGTAGTGCAAAGTTAAAAAACAACTTCAAAATCCCAGTTGCCAGACTCTGATTAGCTTGTCTCTGAACAAACATTTATTTCCATCAGGGGAATTTAACATAGAATATGTAAGTAAACCCAGGTTCACTTGTCTGAGAAAATAACTACATTTGCACAGAAAGAGACCAATTAGAGCAATTAGAGTGAAACTGTTGACTACTAAGAGACCAATAAACAATATCCTGGATTGTGGACAGTGGGGAATGGGGAATTCTGTATAAAAAAAAAACATGGCACTAGTTATTAGCATAATGTTATTGGCCTACTTTGAGCGCCAAATTAATGAATACAATTCAAATGACAACTTTAAAACGTCACAAATTCACCCTTTTTACACACTGACAGTTGGTTATATTCACCTTTATTGCGCTAAAAAACAAAGCCAAACACAATACCAATAACCACTAAGAAAGCAATATCTTACCGGAGCAGTTTGAGCTCGAGAAAGTGGAGGCACGGGAATCTCTTCAGGCTCGGGTTGGTTCCAGTGGCGAGCGTTGTACACAGCCTTGGCAGGTGACTGGAACCCAGTAAGAATTTAAGAATTGGTTAGTTGGCTTAGACACAGCATAACACCTGATATGACATTTATTTCCATGTAAAAAAATAAATATATTATGTATATTCATTAATTCAATGATGGGTAACTTTGATCACAGTAAAAATATCCAGGCAGCCAAAGCTTAAATCAGTATGGAGCTTTGGCTGAACACAGACTGTATAGATACACTTCCATCTTAATCTCCATAAACAATTTTAGCACAAAATTTAAATTACTGTTGTGAATTAGCAGAGCTGAACAAATAAATATTGCATACTGCAATCATGATGATAGACTGAGACAACAGCAGCCTCAGTGTGGAGCACAACAGTCCCCAAGCAGCGCAAATGGGGAAACTGAAAATGACACACTGTGCGACTCGATTATATGTGGAAACAACCATGTACAGAGTTGTGTCGATGATGTAGGAACAACAAACACACAGAATTAAGAGGACAGACCACAAATAACCCAAAGCTACTGCGAAACATGATCTGGAAAAGCAGTGCAGATGTGGGCACGGCACAAAATACCACAAATCAAAGTGGAGTTATTCAGATATATATGGGCCTGACCAAGAGGCAATATTCAAACCCCCTTCATAATAGAAGACCACGTACAGTGCAGCCTACTGAACACACATTACTGCTGTACCATAGAATCACATTACATTATATGACAACTAAATAAATATCAGTTTTCTTTCATTCGTAATTTTCCTCTGATGCTCTCCTCTTTCTCATTATCTCAGTCTATTTTTAGTCAAGGTCAAGGTATTCTGTTATGTAAATGTCATTTTAACATCAATAACATTAAAAGAAATGGCTGTCAAAAGCAAAGCATTATCAGACCCAAGATCAATCCTGGTCGGGAGGAAGGTCATGAAGGCTGATCAGATGACAAAATTACTTCTGAGCAATAGCAGGCAAAGAAACACAAAGATTATTTCTAACATGCTTAGTTACCTTTTTGGGTCCACTGAATATCTTTTTAAAGCCACTCCCAATCTCCTTGGATTTGTCACCCGGTTTCCCTGAGCGTCCTTTCTGCCCCTCAGCGCCACTGGGACTGGAGTCATCAGAGAAGTCAAAAGCATCTGTTGGAGAAACCAGAACCAACATGTGAATGGACTGGACTGATATGGTATAGATGACCATGTCTCTATAAGTTAAGGATCAGCTCACCTGTATTGCTGCTGGCCTGGCTGTCCTGAGAGTCACTGGTATGAGGGCTGTCCAAACTGGAGCTCAGGGCAGCTAAGGCCGCAGCTGCCTTCTTGGCCTTCTTCTCTTTGACCTGAGAGCTCTCCTCGTCACTGTCACTCTCACTCAGGTCGTCGAAACCAAAGTACTTGATCTTGTAACTACTCTTGCCTGCCATTCCACCTTCAGGGCTTACCTCACCCTCCTGGTCCTCTTTGTCCTCAAAGCCAAAAAACTCAAGCTTGGTCTCAGCCTTGGTCTTCTTTGTCTTTGTCTGGGTGGGTCTGAACCTGGGAAGACACAGAGAGAGGATTTGTTTGTATAGTTGTTGTTTTTTACCGAGACTGTGGGAATGCAGGGTAAACTGCAAGCAAAACAAAAAGCAACCACTGAAGCTAAACAAATAAAAGAAAACAAGACTGAGAAGTAGGTGTTCACACTTTTGTGCACATCAATGAACAGAACACTTCAGACAACACAACGCTACTGTTTAGAAACCACTAAAGCATGATACATAATAGACCTATAATGGACCACAAATACTACATGCACTAATGGTAGTGTCTCCAACGAGCTGAGCTAGAGAGTGAAATGGAAAACAATTCTCTTCTACTTACTATCACACAAGTCAATTCAGTCAGGATGGGTAATGTGACAAATATATCAGCGATTGGCTGATTCCATCACTGGTTGGTTTTTTGGGGACAATTTTTGTCATTTTATTTTGATCATTTCATTGTCATTTTCAACCAGCTGTAGAGCCAGAATATTTTCACATGGTCGTAGTGAACTTGCAGCTCATCTCCCATCTGAATCTATTAGGGGTGGCGTATGTATGGGACTGCCGTTATATACAAATGTGCCAATATATCTGCAATCTCCAGTCTTTATGCTGACAGTAATTTTAAACATATCACCAACCCTACACTATATGCCATGACATTGATACGCACATACCCATCTAGATCTATACAGTATGCCTTTGTGCTATACTTTGGCAGCAAGGAACACCTCCCAGTACAGTACATGCCTTTAGAATAAAAGCCTTGCAACAATGCAATTGATTATACTACTTTAATCACACTTCTTCCCACTTCCATTTTGTAATTGCATCGACTGTATAAAAATGCCACACCTCATAACATAAGCTTAATGAATAAAAGCTATTTTTCCTTCAGACATCTATATTAAGGCCTACCTATACTACAGTGCACATTTTGCTCAGCGTCACACAAATCATATTTCATAGGATTCGGACGTAATGGTGAATCCAGTGAAGTTATTAACTGGTTTACGGATATTAAGTTCACGATGAAGAATAATATAAAAGTGATGGCTGGCTGGCGGTACTAAAAATCGAATACTTCACGCATGACACAAAAGTAATGAAAGCTTATAAATATCAGTAATATAAATTTGGTTAAGGGGGTAAGAGAATAACTACCTTCCTAATATAAGGATTTAGAAGACAACTTTTGAGGAATGTTCTCCACAATGCAGGCTGTTCAGACACATAGAAACCATAGAGACTTACCTGTTAGATTTGGGTGGGGGGGCGTCTGTCTTCTTCTTCATCTGGCCAGCTTCTCCAAGGTCGGCAGGAGCAGCTGGGGTGACCAGTTCGTCAATGCTCCGCTCTATTGAGTCCTGGATGGTGACGTTGCACACTGACAGACATGAAGGGTGCAGAACTGTGTAGTCCCGTACCCTCCCACCACCCCTGCCTGCAGGCTTAGCTGCTGTTTTAGCATTGGCAGCAGTACCACTTGCACTAGCAGAAAGGACACTGTTGGGTTTAACTTGGGCACTCACTGTTTCTGTGAGCTTGTTGCTATTTTCAGCAGGTTCGGGGGACATTTTGTTAGACTTGCCAGGGCGCTGGTATTTCTTGCAATTTGAGGCCCTTAGAGTAAATGGGGAAGGGGGGAGGTTGTCCACTGGTTCTGGTGGAGGCTCCAGCTCAACACTTTGCATCTCGTCTGATGGCAGTCCATCATACGAGGAAGAGGTTTGGAAGTCTCTGCTACCACCTGGTACATCAGTGGACAGTTTAAGGAAGGTGTCTACATTAAGAGAGGAGGAAATGGACCTCTGGGACAATGAGAGTTTGTGATCATCAGAAGGGATTGTGTTTGACAAAGAGGTCATGAATGCAGGTTTTTGGTTGCCATCTGATGTACTTTTGAACCGGGGCTGATTATTCTTCACAACCTTCACTTCAGGTGGTAGCTTGCCTATGAATGGAGAAGAAAATTACAGGTGGTCACATAAAAAACTGACATTAAAACAAAATGGCTTTCAGAAACTATCAATTAAATGCACAGGTACAGATAAATAATTCAACGAGGGTTGGCTACAGACAGTAAATTCATTGTTGGGCCAAAAGACAACCAGGGATATATGTTAGTCTAGTGCATGTATCTATTACTTACTTGTGAATGTGGCTGTTGAGGTTGCAGAGCCCTGTGCAGAAGTCACAACATTGGCTGTCCCACCGCCCTGCACTGCGGTCGCCTTCTTCACATTCCCATCAGTGACTTTCGACTGGGACACGCTGTCAGAGGATACAGTCTTGCAGGACTCATCATCACTGTCAAACCCAAATGGGTCTTCTTCACTGTCGCTGTCCTCAAGCCGGGGCCTCTTGGGAAGCTCAGAAACTTCTGGCTTTAAAAGGGGCCTTTTGGTTCCCAACTGAGCCTTGTAGGTGGTTTCCCCCCATTTGGTTGTTAGTGTGGGCTTCTTATTGGAGAAGACCTCTTCAAATTTAGAATTAGCCTCCCCTCCCTTGCGGTTGTATGTTTTACCGAATCTGGATGTCATGTCGGCTGCTTTATCTTACATATTCCCTGTGAATAGAGGCAGGAAACACTGAACATTTAACACAGCAGTCAAGTAAATTGTACAAACAGCAGCAAACGCACAGCTCCGCTAATGTAAAAAGAAAATGAAAATAAAAATACCGCAGTATTGCACCACGTTTCTAGAACATGCGAAAGAGATGACCTATGTTTCCCAACGATCACACTGGCAAGGTTGGATTAATTAACTCGGTGTTAGCTCATAAGTCTGTGTCAACTATGGGTTGTTAGCACACCAACTTAGCATGGCTAGCTCGCCAGCTCAAGCAACAAATCTCTCAAATAACATTATCGGTCGTATGTGAGCAACACGATATGAAGCGAGAGCGATCTGGGCGAACTTTAGTCAAACTTGAACTTAATTGTAACTAGTACCTAACGTAGTGCTGACAGGACAGTTCACTTAGCCCTCTACGACTGTTAACCCCAGCTAGGCCTGCTCCTGCTTGTAAAGTTACTATAAAGTTAGCAATTAGCCGTTAGCTTACCCGCTGCTAACCTGTGCTAACGTCAGTCCCCTGTTTACATTTCACACCTGACTGCATCAAACGTGGGGCGTTTTGTGTTTTGAATATAATTAAAGTACTTTAACGTGTACATTTGAATGCAACGATTCAGATTTAAATAGCATCGTGAGTACAAAAGATTAGCATCACACCACTGTTACCTTTCAACTCCAGCAACTAGCCAAACGTCCGGTTGTGTTTTTTAGCCAGCCGGCTAGGCCTTAGCTCCCAGCTCCCACTCGCGCACAAATCAAGCGGGTAAAGTCCGTGAAGCGCAGCAGAAACAACACTTCTCCAACCCGAATATGCCCCCAGAGCAAGAGTCGTCACCGAAGAAAAGCAACAAACACGCACCCGTAGCTCTTATAGTCTAAAAATAGTGGATAATCCGGAGTTTTTGCATTCTGTAGAGCTACTGACGGCCATTAAAATATCCCCTCCCTCCTCGTTCCCTGGCAAGACCCCCATGTAGTGCGCTGCAAGAAGGGAGCTGGCCAATCAGCGGCGGGGAGGTTTTCCTGTGCGATGACGCTCAGTCAGCAAACGTGACTCTGATTGGTTTAAAAGTGAAACCATAACAGACGATAGGGGGCGCTGGAGGATCACGTTAGTTGATTTAGACTGAAAGACGTGCCAGAGAGAAACAGTGCTGATGGAGTCGAGCTGCTTCTGGCGTTCATCGCACACTCGCTCTGTTTAAAGTTAAATCAACAAAACACCTAAATTAAGCAGCTTCCGGTTGACGTAACCGTTATGCTTTACACTTAAACTTTAGTTTAAAATTCTTTGAAATGTTATTTCACTAAAATACACGGCTTTAAAAATAAGGTATTTAAATATATGTATTTGTTGTATTTCTTAATATTAAATATCAGTGTTTAAAGGGTCAGATCACTTAAATTACTCAAATTAAAAAGGGCTGTAAACAGTGCCCAGTAGCGAGGGCAGTTTTAATGGAAATGCAAGTTTCTGTTGAATTTTAATGTAATGCTTTTATTGTTGTGGGATAAACACGACTTGTTAAAACACAATAGAACATATAAAACACAAATACAAAGTGTACTTCTTTAAAGGACCAGTATGTAAAATTTATCGGCATATACTGAGATGTAGTTGCAGATTGCAACTCCCTCACTTCACCCTCCCCTTCAAAGCGTGAGGGAGAGACTGCAGTGGCTGCAAATGGTGTGAAAATGCAAACGGACCTATCAAGTATTTTGTTTGTCCGTTCTGAGCTACTGTAGCAACATGGCAGACTCAGTAGAAGACAACCCGTGGCAACTGCAGATATAACAGGCTCATTCAAAAGTAATGAAAACCTTACAACGATTCTTATTTTCAGGTGATTATACATTAATGAAAACATAGTTATGCATGTAAAATTCAATTTCTGCCAATAGATGCACAAATGTTATACACTGGACCTTTAATATAGCTTAACAATAAAATATAACCAAGTATATGTTATACAACCAATAGTAATGTAATTCTATACAACCACGTTTTATTGTTGTGTGCTCACTGGAATGAATTTCCAAACACCTGCAGCATGCTGGACAGAGAAAGATCACCTGGCACTGGTCCGGGCACAGATGGTGTCATGAATGAATAGTGAGTCATAAACACCCTGCAGGGCAAAGTGGTCCCAACTGTATCAACACTGAAATTACCATTACTCATCCTGGACAGACACAGACACAACTTCTCCTTTAAAGTATGGAAGTCCTTGTGAAGATGGGGCATGGGGTAACCGCAGTGGAGATGGCTGGTCTCAGAGGGATACCAGTTCCCATGGGAAGCATGAAAAGTTTTTTTTAAAACATTTTTTTTTCTCCATCTCACTGTGACTCACACTGTAATGCCATGGTATCAACAGTAAAGTGGTAAATCGATTAACATCTTTCTTAGTTTTTCAGATGAGGAGTCCTTTCTTAGATTACAATTAACCAAATGACCAAAAGGTTAGTTAGTCACTCAATTTTTATCATCAAATACACATTTCTGGCCAACTGCATGTATTTGGGCTGACAGAGAGATTGTCACTTCACATCATTCTCAGAGGTGGTGAGGTAATATGGCCATGCCCTGGATGACTGATGGTTTTGAGCTCAGGTCTTGGCACTTTGGCAGTAGTTGCTTCATTAACAGGCAAACTTTAGAGCCAGAGTCCAATGCTAGGTATACTGTAATCTCTCTGAATGTTTTGCAGTCTTGGAATAAATGAGTCAGGAATCGGTGCCATTGCCAAGTAAAATGAAAACATAGAATTTCAAGTTTTTGCAACATCTGCCTGAAATATTTGTAGTTAGATGGGTAAAGTAAGATGAGAGACTGCAACATTGATACAGAACCATTAGATGGCAGCAACACTTGCTATCACGCTTATGTTTTTTTGTTTGTTTAAAAGGGCCTTTGACCACAAATCTATACATCTATCAACTATGTTTTGATGTCCAGTAGGTGCTTAAAATAATGTGTGATTAGGATGAATCTCTGTGGGCTGCTTAACATCAGGGGAAACCTTTTTTGTGTAATATAGCTATCATGTGTTGAATGGAAAAGAGGAGCGTGAAGGATAAACATCCACTGGTTATTAGAGGTGTGAAATTCAAATGTAATACAAGATGTAATTTTTTGTCTGTCTTTTTAACATAAAGCTGATGAGGTTCGTTTTAATCTCGTTTTAATCTCGCTTTAGACAATGGAGCTTAACAGACATTTCATTTGAGTTGTGGTTGGGCTACAATAAAGAAAACCCTCTGCACACTTTTTCTGTTGCAGATTTCACTTTTAGTGAAAGAGATTTTGCTCAGATACCTCCTTGTGTGTGTGGTGGTTTCTGTAGTTCTCATGAGGTCTACATCATCATTATCATCATCCAAAATTTATGTGGTAAACAAAAGTCTCTACCAAAACATTAAGTGTATTCATGCGAGCCCCACATCTGTGGCCACTGCATAGTGGGTCGGATCTCTGTTTGGCTCGCACTCCTGTCTCTCTGAGGTCAGCCTGCAGAGCCCATGGCCCAACAATCACACCAGACCACTATCAAGCCCATATGAAGGCAATAAAATCAAATTTAAAGCAGATCCAGATTGGTTTTATAACCCCTTTGTGTGAGTTAGTTGTGTTGAGCAATGGTTAAGCAAACTCTGCACACATACAATGAAAATATTGTAATGTCAGCCTGGGTCCAGTCCATCTCGTGTGCAGTCCATCGTGTGCATGTGTGTGTGAGATTGCGTGAATTAGAGATGGAGAGAAAATGAGGAAGCCAGCATGGTGAGTGTCAAAACAAAAGAAGGTAAACCCTTTATTTTTTTTCTCAGTATACATCACATAATCAACACAAACATTCTACAGTACTTAAAAAAATTGAGTTAAGAAAACAACAATTATACAAATCAGATTTGCCCAGCGAGTCTCTAAATTGCCTAAAATTGCAGTGGAAGGCCCGACTGAGCAAAAGTCCATATTTAAAAAGACACAAAACAAGAGAAAGCAGATAAAAACAATATGCCAATATCCAACTACTTATGTTTGTGACCAAACAGTAGTAGCATTGATCAAAGCATTACAGACTAAAAGTGAAAACACACATGGAAGTACAGCACTGCTTTCAGAGCATCTGTACAGTCGTTCCTTTCAAGGCAAAGCCAGAATTTTCCTGGGTGTGTGGCATCACTGGTCTTTGGCCACAGGGGGAGGGTGCATCAGGAGAAGCCCCCGTCCAATATAAGGTCCACTGGTGATAAGTAAAACAGAGCTCCAGCTCCTGGATTTGTGGAAGGTCAAGGGTCAATCTCCATGGGAACAACCGTGAGGATAGCATCTTCGTTTCCACGGCGGACAACTACTCTCAAGTTGCCCTCTTTCTTGATGGCGGCACTGACGTCAGTCGCTGATGAGATCCTTTGGCCATTGATTGAGATGATGACATCGTGTTCTTTGAGTCCACCACTGGAGAAGAGAAGAAGAGAGAAGAAGAAGAGATGACTGATCGAGGGCTTCATAAATGGTAAGTATGGATAATAGCAAATACATTTTTGTTTCCCGAGACCTGATTATCTCAGTCGAGTGATAATATATTCTGTTACAGTTTTAGCCACTAAGGAGGGTGTATGGGACTGGAAGCTAACACTGGCCAGTGATGAGGGCGTCACCAGTTTAAATCCAGCTATTGCATGTGACCCACCATTACTCTCTACCCTCATTTCATGTTAGCTCTACTCTGTCTAATAAATGCAAAAATGCCACAGAAACAACACAATAACAACAAAAGGCTAATGCTATATGTACCTTAATCAGTGTAATGTATGTAAGAATGTAAATGTAAAGTCTGGTCCTACTTTCTTATTATCAGCAAATCCCATGAAAAGACCAAAACCATTAATGATCACCTAGATCAAATATTATTTGTGTATTTAAAGCCCAACATTTCTTATTCCTCTGTTCCTAATCTTCCATTGTTGTCAAAAAACGATTAAAAACATGTCAATGACTCAAAGCGTTGTATTGGAAGACATGTTCCTTCATTTTGATGAACATAGGAACTGTAGTTTATTTGAAGCCAATCCCACACACACTTGCCTTGTGTTGCAAATATTCACTAGATTACTAAATGTGTATTAATCCACCGCTAAAAATAGTCCCTAACGAATGTACTATTTACTCCTGTTTGAGTAATGTTTGCTAAAAGCCACAGTGCCGAGTTGATTCAGGAAATCGTCTTCAGTAGGGACAAATGGGCTGGACACATTGTCGGTTTACAATATATACTGTCACCAGCCTGATCCTTTAATGATAAAATGTGTTGGGTTTATGACATTGTGTTTTCCTCTCTTTGCATAAGGTGTTATTTAGATAGAGATTTTAGTAGAAAGAATCAAAACAGCAAATTAATTTAATGGCCTGCAGATGTAATGGCTCATCATCACTCACATAAAAAAAAGTTCAAATCAAGTCATCCTCATATGTTTCTAGAGCAGAATCTGAATCAATGTAACATCTGCTTTTTGAATTTTAATGACTGAACGATTAAGATGGAATGATAGCACAGCAAGGTCAGAGCAGAAAGCAAATAAAAACACCCATAATGAAATAAACAAACTAGTAAACCTGAAAACACACACAGACCAAGGCAGTAACCTGCAGTGATATTAAAAGCTGACTCTCAAAGCAGCTGCTTAATCACAGCCACATGTAAATACAGAACAACCACACCTTCACCCGCAACAGCGTCCATTAACACAACTGCAGCTCAGTATTCCCTGTCAATACACATTACGCTACTCTAACACCTCCAACACAGCAAATGGACAGTTCTCTACAACATGGGTCAAGATTTCCAAAGGCTATAAACCAACACAAAACAGAGTGAGATCACAAGCATGAAAGTGCAGCCTCGAAAATAACATGGGATATAAAAGGAACCACAGAAATGTTATTATGCAAAAAGCAGGGTGATTTG